GGCGCTGGATTAAGGCTCCAGTCTCTTCGGGGGCGTGGGTTCGAATCCCACCGCTGCCAGAACTTTTTTATCATATCATTTTCTTTTTGCACATCAGTATCCACCGCCCTGTTTATTTTATAGCCCAATTAACACTAACCATAACCATTGTACACTAACTAAACTATATATTCAACACACAATGGCTTAAGGGAGCATGTGGTGCATTTGTAGCAATCTGATTCCTAAAATTGTGTTTACAAATAATATTTGGGTTAGAGTTTCATTTTTTATTTTATTTTTTCTGATAGTGTTAAGATATAAACAGCAATAGTCAAAATTCTCTACTTAAAGGAACATTATCCATTTAACATGATCAGACATGTTTACTATTTGTTCATTCCATCTCACTTTCAGACTTTCTGTTTAATTTAACTGTACTTCTCATATTATCTAACATTTCTTAAAAGACCAGCAGTGTTTTATTTTGATACATATCATAACATTAAACACAAATCCCTACCCAAAAGTACATATTTTTAGAAACAACACCGCTCAGGGTATTAAACTGAGAATTTTTACACTTGCTATTTAACCATTTTATCAATATCTTCTACAAAATGTGGTGACTATATATATGAAGGGTTTTCACAAATATTTTATTTTAATAGATAATTTTACAGACCACATATGTCCCATTGCTGCAGAGACAGCATATTTGTACCCTACTCTTGCAATGGAATACAACCAAAGTACATATGCATATCTTGCTAGGTGTTTTAGAGACTTGTGGAGTCAAATTATTTATTTTATTTATTTTGAAAATATTTTACCACGAAAGATACATTGAGATTTCTCTCATTTTCAAGTATGTCGTGGGTATATAAATAACAGACAGGTGACACTATGTCATAATAATATATATATAGGCCATGGCAGTACTTGTCATATGTTACCCATCAGCATGTGTCCAAGAAAACATATTAGATTTGATAAATCAGTCATGTTTCATAGATTTATGTAATGAGAAGATGTTATACAAGACTTAGTGATTCAGAAGTACAGAGTAAAAGTTAGTTAACAAAGGTAGATACATACTTCCACCAAAGCATTGGTGGTTCAGTGGTAGAATTCTCGCCTGCCACGCGGGAGGCCCGGGTTCGATTCCCGGCCAATGCATGGTTGATTTTTTTTTTTTTTGCAGCTCTCACCACTACTAAAAGATAAGTTGGAATTTTGTATAATAATACACTCCCGTCACCTAAGACATTTTAGCATAGAGATTAAAAGGAAGCCTTCCATGTCTTAATTTATTAAAGTGCCTGTTTAAAGGGAAACCCGCACATTTATGAATTGCTTTAATTAGACCCCCAACCAACCATATAGCAGACAGCCAGGAGGGAATGAAAGAAGACGTTTGTCATTGATAGTCCCTCAGGTGAATAATAGCGCACAGGCAACACGAATTACACATTGACTATAGACACCATAACTACATTGAGCTGTAGTTGTTCTGGTCACTATAGTGCCCTAGTTTCTTAAATGTACAAAAAATAAATGTACACTTATTTTTAAGTTTAAGGGGTGGGGGGGAGGTCGTGGCGTCTAAAAAGACACTAGGGCACTGTAGTCACCAGAACAACTACAGCTCAATGTAGTTATGGTGTCTATAGTCAGTCCCGGCAGGCTTTTTAATGTAAACACTGCCTTTTCACTGCTTAGTAATACCTCTAGGGGCATTCACTCAGACAGCCACTAGAGGTGCTTCTTATTAGTGCAGCGCTGGCATTTAGTGTCTCTGCGCTCTGAATGGCGTAGCTGAACGCTCCCCATTGAGATGTATTGATTCAATGCATCTCTAGGAGGAGATGCTGATTGTCGCAGCACAGTGTTTTGCCGCACATGCACAATAGGCTCCCAATGCTTTCCTATGGCAAAGCCTAGTCTATTGAACGCACTGGACTGGCTGAGATCATCACATTTGATGACCTCGGCCAAGGAGGTGGAGCGGGACGGAGCCGCCACAGCAATACCGGTGCAGTTCTGGAAAAAAGGTGAGTAAAATCGCCTTCTTAAAATAAAGAGAGGGGACCGGTAATCTAACATGTTTGTGTGCCCTGATACTACCATTTACCCATTCTTGCTGTGCTGTATTTGTGAGCAATGTCTGTGTGTTTGAATGTAATCATGTTTTTGTATGGAGCAGGTTTGTATGAATGTAGTTTTGTGTATTGTTTTGCTATTTAAATGCAGGAGTGTACTACTGTTGGCCTTCCAATGCAGTTGTGTATTTGTACGCAGTTTTGGCATTTAGAAGGCAGGGGTGCGTTTGTGTGTAGTTATGACATTGCTTGTAAATGCATGCGTGAGAGTACAGCAGTGGCATTGGCTCCTGGCACGTTGAAGGAGGCACCAGCGAGGGACAGGTTCATGTTAGTAAAACTCACCTCACCAGCCACCAGACCCCCAGCGGCGATTTCACCGTCTTTTTTACAAATTGGGCACATTGGCGCTTTAATCTACTCCAGAGCAAATTGATCAATTCAGGATTTACCTGCAGAGTCTTATTTATTGAATAAAACTCCACATTTAAATCCTGGACGTGCTGATTAGTTAAGGAGTGGATCAAAAGGTATTTGATTTGTTTGTACCAACTGAAAATAATTTGTGCACAGGTCTAGTAATTAATGGAATAATGAAATGTTACAGGGCCTGGAGTATCATACCATTTCATAATCTATGCAAGAATGCTAGGTAGTTATGGTACCTGGAATGTCCCTTTAACCCAGAAATGATCCCACACTCCCAGCACTTTCACTAGGTATTGCTGTCCCTTTGAACTTGTCCCTTTGACCAGTATAAATGCAGGTCCTCCACGTGTGACCCTGGGAATGGACTCTCTGGCCTTTAACACCCTCCTGCTAATTTCTTCCTCCAGCTGTAAAGGTGCCAGTGGGCGTCAGGTTGAAGTGTGTTAATCATTTGTCCCGTAAAGGCAATTCAGAGACCTGTATTCCCAGAAATAATAAATAAATAAAAAAAATTCTTTAAAAAGAAAGCCAAATGACAATTATGACATAGTGGATTTATTTTAGAAATTGCTCCCCCAAAAATGACAATAGAAATAGCGCAGTCTATACCGAGGGGTATTTGGCAGTGCGGTTCCAGAGTTGCATAACCTATAGCTAGCTCGCTAACTTTTGCTGCTCTTTCTGATATTATTTTAATTCCTTTATATAAGCCACAATGAAAATCAATTAACTAATTAAGGCAGTTTTTTTAGGGATCCTTACTTGATTAACGAATTGATAACCTTTTTGCAACATATTAAAGATACAAACTGCGTGGCGGCATGTAGACATAATGGGGCTTATTCGTAAAAAGTGGGGGGGCTGTTTTCACGCCACAATTTTATAGCACCTTCCGTTTGGGCCCCTACTGCACCAATATTTTTGTGCTAATTTCTTTTCATTATCTGCGCCATATTTTTCCTGTGCTGTTAGCACCTTTCCCAATAATTTTATCTAACACATTTGTTTTCTTATTTTAATGTATCACAAATAGTGGCGTTGTCAAAGTATAAAGGAAACACAATGATTTTTATACGTACCCCTTAACATGTGTCTTTGAAGACAAGGCAGATCTGACAATAATACTGTTACTTTCGTTATCGCTGTTTTCTTGCTGGCTCATACCAAGCCTACTGCATTGTTGTTATGGTGCAGTACGCTATTGGTGAAATCGATAGGAGGGAAGTTCAAATATTTTAGGAAAATTTGGTTCTCAAAAGGAGACTAATAGCAATTAACCCAGGTTTCCTGCCTTAGTCTTCTGACACCAGCTAGTTAAGCTCTATATTTGCATGTGAAATGACTCCTGATTAAAATGAGATGGTTCCTCCCTTACTTTTTTTGGATTTAAATGTCTTTTGAAATTGTCCATACACTCTAAAACAGTTGATGCAACTCTATCACATTCAAAGTGCAGCACACCCAGCATTATCTAAATGTGTTTTGTCTTGTTGTAGACCTTGACAAAGACACACATGTTTTGTGTGTGTTTGGGAACAATGTATTTTTGTATCATATTTTGGTCATTCTAAAGTTGTTGTTTGAAGAGCTTATCTGGACCACTCCAGATTCTTTATTTCTCGCCATTAATTACAGCAATAAAGGCCCTTGTTGTGGAATATTTACTAATGGGACAGACTCCACTGAAAGTGCACCCCTTTAATTTTGACATTGAAAACTGAATTGGAAAATTAGGCAGATTTTAGGCTGTGATTACAACTGAGTTTGAGTGTTTTTACAAAAAGAATTATATATATATATATGTGTGTCTGAAGGTTGCAGTCTAGTTTTAAATTCAGTGAATTGTCAGAAACTGGCCAATTAATGTTTCTGGCACATCCTTCTTGGTTTCAACTTCCTTGGAGAATTCCCAACAATTCCAACATTAGTGAATGTTCTTGTTAATAAACTCCAAACTGACCCTAAACTGACCTCCTCAATATGAACATTCTGAGAATTAAGCTTGAATGCTTTTGGCCAGCAAATTGTGTAAATGTGTAACATTTGAGGCAATCTGTTAGAAATAATAAAAAAATAAAAAAATTATAATGATGGCTTGTGATGGACATGTGAATTCGCTTGTGGAAGGTGTGTGACCCTGTTCAACCCAAATAAATGTGCACAGCGCCTTTAAAGTGGGGTAATTACATTTGGCACAGGTCCTGGAGTGTGATCGGGGGTTGGAAGGACAGGGCAATTAGGGGGCAGGTTTGAGAGTGTGAGGAAGAGGTGGGTTTATGGTTTTCAGAGCATGTTGAAGAGTGTGAATAGGAGGAACACGAATGGGTGGGGACTTGGGGGTCTGGAAGGTCTAGGAGGAGTTAGTGAACTGGTGAGAAGATCGCTGTGAGATTTGGATTCACATAGCAAGGGACAGGGCACAGAGCATCTTCTCCCATCAAGGACTGCGTTATTTTCTCCAACCTGGATACCTTGAGCCAGTCCAGAAAAATGAGGAACTCTTACCTCAGCAAAGAGGATAAAAAGGTAAATTAACAAGTTCATAGAACCACCAAATGTCCTAACCCAAGCCCGGACCTTGTAACTCTCTCCTTGACATTCTCAGCTTCTCAAATTTAACGTCAGTTTTCAGAAGTCTTCTCCTACAGTAGACCTTGCTCTTGGTTGCCCAGCTTCCTTAGCCCATTAATGGGCAATTTTCACTCAGTTTGTTTTCCAAGTCTTGACCCTCTGTTTGCCCCCGCCCCCTATTTTTATTTTCAGTTAATGAAACCGGTAATAGAGAAGCGAAGAAGAGATCGCATCAACCAGAGTCTGGAACATCTGAGGATGCTTCTTCTGGAAGCCACCAAAGATGAGGTAGGAGCTCCAAATGTGGAATTTAGAATGTTCTCCCAGTTGATACAAAACGTGCAGGGGGGGCGGTGTGGGATTTATCCTGTTCATTATAATGATACTCCATATTTCTCACTAAGGCTTGAGCCCCCCAATGTGCTCTTGATAAACCCCGGGTAAATCACTAGCCCCCTTGCAGGTATTGTGGAGCTGGTGCACTGGAGGAGGTAATGGACGCAGTGTTTGGGGCTGTGCTGGGGGAGTGCAAGGGAGGTTTGTAGCTGTGTGTGTGTGTGTATGTATGTATGTATGTATGTATGTATGTGTATATATATATATATATTATATATATATGGCTGTGGTGGGCAATGTGTTTGGGGACTGTGGAGGGGCAAGATGTATGGAGTCATGTGAAGCTATGGGGTATGTAGAGGACTGGCTTATCTCATACATGAAACCATCTTTTAACATTCAGAATTCACAATTATCCCTACATTTATTTGTACACACTTATATTCAAGTGCATGCTCATTCCAACACCCTCATACGTGACCTTTAAACCCGTACAAGTTCCCACCTGCACATGCCACTTCATAAAGCACACATGAATACACAGGTTCTCATTCACACACCACAACAAAGACCTGCTTACCCTCATTCATGCACACATACGTAAATACCCTTTCACACCTAAAAATACAGAATTAAAAACTTTATTTTTTTCATACATGCACCCATGAATAAATACCCTCTTATACATGCTCACTTAATCATATACATGTCGGCATGAGCACAAACCGGTGTAGGTAGCACATGTAGCAGACAACATGGTTTCTGACACCTCATGACATCAGCAAAGGGTAATTTTTCTCTAGGTTTCCCAGCTCAGTAAATCACAAGTTTGTTTTTATTTTTGTTTTTTAATTTTGATCCTGATAAAAATCCCTGTAGGCTGTTAGGGACTGAAACGTCTATCTCTCTCTCTGAACTGAATGTCTACTCCATAAAGGACACTTGCACTATATATATATATATATATATATATATATATATATATCATGATTATGCACACTTCTATTTGTATATGAAGTTACACAAATTAATAAATGTTTGTTTTTCCATTCAGTCTCTGAAAAATCCCAAAACAGAGAAGGCTGATATTCTGACAAAGACGGTGCATTTTCTTAAATTGTGCCATGAGCCAGGTGAGAGAGATCCAAAATATTATCCATTATTTTATGTACAGTTAATAGATATATAATGAATTGTTTGTTCGCACCCAACGTGTTCCTAAAAGGCACAGTTAGGGCATTACATGCAAATGAACTTGCATTCCTCATGATTCTAGGCTCACATCAGGCCAGTATTAAACGTCACTGAGTTTGACATGACTTTCAGCTGCTGAGGGAAGTTAAGTTAAAAAAAAAAAAAAGCAGAAATATTTTAGCAATAGCTATATAAAATGGCTGTACACAATTTAATTCATTTAGCAGAAGCAGCGTGACTTCATATTCACTTTTACAAACTAGTATATAGCACTAGTGTAACTGACAATGCAGCAATTTCACTTTTAAATGATTAAAAGTAATCCTAAATGCATCCTCTAATTTACTAATTGATTTTCCTTGCTGCAAGCCAAGAATTTTACAAAAGAGGTTGTTACACGTGTCATGACCTTAGGGGTATCTTCACTAAACCATGATTTTAAAATTCTTTTTCCCCAAAACATGAGTGCAGATTATGGTTTCCCTGCAATTCACTGTTTAGCGTGTCCGTATTAAAATGGGTGATTTGGTAATCACTACTGTACAAAATACAGCTCACTGACTAATCCTTAAAACACGGTAACACTTCATTGGAGTGTGTGTAGTTTTAATTGTGAATATAAACTATAAAATAAAGTGGAGTGAGGCAAAACATAAAGAATTTAAAAATAAAGGATAGAATTTTTAAGTCAGAGGTAGAAATAAAGTATTGAAATAACGGGCAATGAGCACTTGCCAAACTGCAGCTCCCATGAACCTTTGCCATTCAGAAGCACAGCATTTGTCAGTCAAAGATTCATGGGAACTGTAGTCTGCTGAAAGGTGGAGAGAAGAGGGGAATTTCCTCATGCCCTTAATGTTCTTAATGATAGCCCTTTTCATAAGCCAAATGCAGTCTATTTGTTTTACATGACTGTCCCAATGCTAAATGAGCTGCAGATTTATTTATTTTTGTGTAGCTGTGATATAACTAGACCTGATGGGAATTGTCCGTGTTGGGAGCTGCATTAGAGATCAGTAATGGATATAGAATTGTCAGTTCAGATGTTTGTGACCTACCTTCCACATGATGGTCAGCTAGCCTGTAAATGATCTAAGCATCATGGGTAATGTAGTCCATAAATACCAGGAGCGCAAATATTGGCCATCAGTGGTTTATGCAGTAAGGCGGTCAGCCATTCATTCAATCAGTTTGTAAGTGATGGCGATTATAAAATTAACTTCTGGATTACTCAAATTAGTTTTAAACAAACACCACAAAATAAGAGATATAAGATTGCCTTTCCATTGGAATGTTTTTGTTGAGTGGGTTAATTTTATCACAGTTCGCACAGACCTCTATAATCTGGGCCTTCACCTTTAAAGCAGATTTGTCATCAGAAAATGTATTGTACTTCTTTTTTTTTTTTTTTATAAAGTGCTGTCCTTGGTTACAGTATAACGAAGGTCAAAATTTGACAAACTAATACAGGACGAGATGAGTGCCCTATTCCTGTGGGAACTTAAAAAGTTTTTACAGGATCAGAAATAACTTCACTAAATATGGACTTTATTCATATCTTTAGAAAGTCTCAGCACATAATGAGTATCTTCTTGTGGAACAAATGTCACTTACAATATCAGGCAGGTTAAACAGCCATTTCATCTGCTCTGTACTCTGAATGCTCGGACTTAAAAGGACACCATAATCACCAGAACAACTAAAGCTCATTTTAGTTGTTCTGGTGAGTATAATCAAAATAAAAGGCTGTATTTAAATTGCTCCCTAGGGACACCTCCAGTGGCCACTCCTCAGATGACTATAGTATTCCTTTAAGGTTCTCAAGGACCATTAACATCACATGCTCCCAGTAGCTAACTTAAAACAATGTAATGCAAACCTCAAGTGTTAAAAGTCTAACTTTTTTTATGAAATATCCATCTGTTATCATGTAATGAGCATTGCAGATGACTTTTATTTTAAAGAGACTCTTGAAGCACCAAAACAACTTTAGGTTAATGAAGTGGTTTTGGTGTAGAGCTCATTCCTCTGCAGTCTCACTGTTCAATTATCTTCCATTAAGGAGTTAAATCACTTTATTCATGCAATCCTAGTCACACCTACCCTGGCTGACTTGCACAGCCTCCCTACATAATTCTGGAAAAATAGCCTAATTGTTTTAGCATCCTTAATAGCACATTGTGCAATTTAGGATTTCTTATCTCCTGTTTTGTTATTTGCATTCTAAGTAAACTGTAGCACCTCGTGTGTGATTAAGTTCAATGAACAGATCAAGAGATAAGGACTTCTAAAGCAAACACACTGCGTTATAATTTATTTTTATTTTTTCTTCCATGGAGGCCATGTGAGTAACAGCCAGGACATCTTTGACTAGTGCTGCATAACCGCAGTGATTTAACTCCTAAATAGCAGAGCAGTAAGCAGGGAGACAGCAGCGGCATGATCTATATACCAAAACTGCTTCATTTAACCATAGTTATTCTGGTGCTTAGCGTATCCCTTTAATGAAGGCGAACCAGGATATGATGTCATATGATGGAACCCTTTAACTAGCTCTCAACTATGCGATGTCCAATCATCTATCATGCTCTCAATGAAGTGTTGGTGATCATGGTGAAATATTAGGCCAACATCATCAACCTTTGAGAAGAACTGCCTAATACTTTAAACCCATATTAACAAATGATTTATGAAATGTGATTTTGTAACATAATCTTTATTAAAAAATTACCCACAGGAAATTCTAATCCATGTAGAGTAAATTGAGATTTATCAGTTGAAGCAATTTATTTGTATCTGTTTTATATAAACCATACAAGCATATTTAAGTGAAAATCAGCAATGAAGTATATATGGAGGTATCATCTCAAAATACTGTAAAACCCATAATCTTATATGTTTTTACAAACACTCTACTTTTTCTGGCCTAGGTACAGAGGATTCAATGAAGACTAAGTCTGGGTTTAAAGGTGGATTTCAGGAAGGACTGAGCCAAGCTGCTACCTTCTTAAATGCCACTGCCAGCATTTCTGAGACAAAGAGAGGTTATGTTGTGGAGAAACTTTGTCAACACATGGAAAACAGAACTTTTAAGAGTTTGCTAGAACCTGCACAAGAGGGACCATTGGGAGTTAATCACAGGGAGACCATCCCAAGCCTACCACAGATCTCTAGGATTCCAGTAGAACTGAAAAAAAAGGACCAATGTCCTGAAAGACAGTCTTGCACACCACTTCCCCAAAACTACCAATCATCCTCCAGTTCCGTTGAAGTGTCTTGTTTTAGGCCAGAATCTCCATCTTCAACGCAAAAAGTCCACACGAACAGCTCAAAAGAATCCATACAAAGAACACTCTTTCCCGCTCCTACCTCAAACTCTCATGTACCTCCAACCCTTGTGTGGAGACCCTGGCCATAAATCGTTACTTTTTTTTATTTTATTTTTTGGTATTATTTTTAGCACTATTGGGTTTATTTGCTATACACAAGTTTGTAGAGACTTAAAAACTGAATTCGAAAACTTGGGGATAGAGTGCTTATCTGGGAAAACCTTTCCAACTCTGCTATACTCAGTTTGGTTATTTTAGCCAAAGTTTTGCCACTTGCTTTCAGTTCGTATTATTTATAAGCGGCAGCAGATTCTGCAGCGCTGTTTAGTTAACTAGAATGTGGTGTTTAGTGAATTAAACACTGAGTGTCAGAGGGAAGTTGTCACTAGTCCCACTGACTCTCTCAAGCAGATTCATTCACTAACCTGTGAATTGTATGAAACTTAAAACAGGAAATGTAATTTTAGATTAAAATTGAATTTGGAGACTTTTTTTTTTTTTTTTTTTAAATCCACTATTTTAACCTAAAATTTGCAACTGAGCAGAATTCCATGTTTAGTGAATTACCCTCTTGTTGTAAATACATTTTGTAAACTTAACTTATATGTCCATTTTTGTTTATTTTTCCAGCGCTTCCAATGTGTAACATCTTTGTAAACATGCTTGGTAAATTAAAAGTTCACTTTTTTATTTTTTATTTTTTTTAACCCATTGGATTCCAAGTTGAAAATGATATTCATCGTTCCTTAAAAAGCTCTACTTAAAAGGGTGTTAAACATTTCAATAGAAGCGAATGTTAAAACACAACTGGTGTAAAACAGATATGTCTATCTGCAAATGATTGTGGCTTTATACCAACTACTGCCTCAGTTGATCAAGCTGACTGTAAAAATGAAAAGTAAATAGAGATGTCGCGAACCGTCCGCGAACGGCTCGCCACGGTTCGGCACGAACCGTTCGCGGCGAGCTCCGGTCAGCTGACACATCCCGGCCAATCTCCAGCAGACCCTCCCTCCCACCTCCTGGATAGCATCCATGTTGAAGGTAGCTTCAACATGGATGCTGTCCAGGAGGTGGGAGGGTCTGGAAGGGAGGGTCTGCTGGAGATTGGCCTGGATGTGTCAGCTGACCGGAGCTCGCCGCGAACGGTTCGTGGCGAACCGGGGTGAGCTGTTCGCGGGAAGTTCGCGAACGGTTCGCGACATCTCTAAATGTAAATTGTCAGAAATTCTGTGAATTTTACGTTTTTAGACCATGGGTGTCCAACCTTTTGGCTTCCCTGGGTTGCATTGAGTGCAGAGGACTTGTCTTAAATATGGCACTCACAAGGATAACAAATAAGGGGGTTATCTACCAAACAAATTTAAGGATACCAACTAAGGGGACTATCTACTAAACATGTATATACATATATAAAAGTAGACGGAGTGGTTAATAAAACAGAACCAATCAACAGGTGGAGCGCTCAAAGTGAGGTAACTCACCCCACTCTTGGTCCGTATAAGGTAACCTATACGTGGGATAGAGTAAACGATAATATTGTGTAGTATATCGCAAGTAATAGTGGGATGATAATGAAAAATATGAAGCCACTCACATGGTTCTGAGCCCTGGCTAGACAGGCTCAAAGCTCTTAGGCAGGCATGTTTGGGGTCACACGAAACCTTAACAGTGAATGAGGATCACATTGTACCTTTAAAAGATGAGAAACCGAATATGGTGCCGTATGTCGATGTGTATTGGTGCAGATGGCAAGAAAGTGCATAAAATTGCTCACCTGGTTCAGAGCCTAAATCCTGGCTCTGAGTATATAAGTATATGTGTCAAACAAAGGGGACACAAAACCCTTCTGGATGAGTAGCAGGAACACAAGATGCTGGTATCAACAGGTAATTAAAAAATAAACAATTTATTGTAAAGTATAAAATATTAACACAAATAAAAAATTATACTATATAAAAGCAATAATATAAGGAAAGTCCTTAGGATGATGCCTCGAGACGCGTTTCGCCAGACGGCTTTTTCAATCGGTGTGGTCCTCTATGTTCCAGCTTTTCTTTTATATCGTCAGTGTGCACTTGATTGGAGGTTTCCTTAATTTCGAATTGGCCGCGGCTGTGTCCCATGACATCATTTCCGCTTGCATCATCCAATAGTGCGGTCGCATTTCTGTTCATTCGTGTATGTATGAGTCTTTGGTCGCCATCTTATTTGAGGGCAAAGTAAATTCTCTATGTGCACATACAATGTCTCTCACGTGAAGAAACAGTGGGAGAGTAAAAGTAAACATTATAACAAATATAGTTAGTATATCAATAGATTCAGGGGAAATTGATACATAATCAAATTGTAAAAAGCTAAGGTCAATAAGCTTGTTTATATATCGTTCATTTAATATAATATATGGGCTTTAACTCATAGACCCCTAAATATGTAGTGCCCATAATGTATATACATATGTACACATAACACACTTAATCACAGACCTACACAAAGTTGCACAAATAAACACATAATCAGAGATGGACACAAGTATACATATACAATCACAGACATCATAGTCCTTATCAGAATGGAGCGGTTAATATGAAGTCCAAGAAAAAAAAACTACTGGAGCCAACAGAAAATGGCATTAGGCTTGTCAATAAGAGCAAAAACGTGTAGACACCACTGTGGTAGTCAGCAGAAGTGGGCAAAATGGTAAACAAAGTTAGCATTTAGTAATTATATTAAAAAAAAGTGAGGAAGATACAGATCTATAGGCAGATTAGGCAGAGAGAGGCAAAACACGTTATAAGAGCTTCCAAAGCACACAAGAAAAGGATATAGCCCAGTCCATTTTTTTAAATAAAAAAGGGTTAAAACTCACATAAATGAGGAAAGTAAAACCACGATTAGTTAGGTTAAAAAGGAAATGATGTAGGAGAGTATAAAGGTTTAGCGGACTACCTTAACTAATATTTTTTTACAGATGAAAGACCTCAATTGGGGGGCGAAAAAGACTGAGTCATTTGATACACGTGAGTTTACAGAGCAAGCGTTTCTATTTCAGCTGTCTCTAAAGTAAAGAGAAATAAGTCAATGGGACCTGATGGAATAAACCCAAAGTTATTAAAAGTGTACTAGCAAAACCATTAACAGATTTATTTAACCAATCATTGTTAACAGGAGTAGTCCACGACGTTTGGAAATTAGCAAATGTTGTGCCCATTCACAAGAAAGGTAATAGGGAGGAGTCGGGCAACTATAGGCCAGTAAGCCTTACTTCAGTAGTGGGGAAAGTAATGGAAACCATGTTAAAGGATAGGATTGATGAACATCTAAAATCACATGGATTTCAAGATCAGAGACAACATGGGTTTACTTCACGGAGATCATGCCAAACTAATCCGACTGTGTAACTAAAATAATAGATCAGGGTGGTGCAGTAGGCATTGCTTACCTAGATTTCAGTAAGGCTTTTGACCAGAGTTTGTTCTCCAATTAGCCGATTTAGGCAGCCGCCTAAGTCCTTGCGGCCACCTAAATCGCCTTAGGGCAGACTACCATGTCGGGTTCCTCAGTCAGAGACTGAGGACCCGACACAGGAGGGGGCCTGGCAGCTTGCCCATAATGCTGCCAGGTGCGAGGCCTCTCCTGTCAGTCTACCCGGGAGTGAGCTGCAGACTGGTGTCTCTCGATCTCGTGTTACCATGGCAATGCTCTGACTGGTGATTGTGAGATTTACCACATGGTCTGCAGCTCACTCCCCCTCCCCCCGTGTTACTGCCTCTTCACCCCCCCATCCAGTGGTGTATCTTGGTTTTGTGCTGCCCTAGGCAGGACAAAACTCAGGCACCCCCTCCCCCCGCGCCACCCCCACCCAACCCCCTCCCCCACCTCTCTAAATACACACACAAACACAGTCAGACACAAACACACACACACACAGTCAGACACATACACAGACACAAACACACACACACACACACACTCACAGTCAGACACACACAGTCAGACACAAACACACACACACAACACACACAGTCAGACACACACAAACACACAGTCAGACACAAACACACACACACACACACAGTGAGACACACACAGGTCACACACACACAGTCATACACATATGCAGACACAAAACACAGTCAGACACAAACACACACAGTCAGACACATACACACACACACACACACACACAGTCAGACACACACAGACACAAACACAGTCAGACACAAACACACACAGTCAGACACATACACACACACAGTCAGACACAAACACACACACAGTCACACACACACAGTCAGACACAAACACACACACAGTCACACACACACAGTCAGACACAAACACACACACAGTCACACACACACACAGTCAGACACACACACACACATAACTTTTAATTTAAATCCCCAACCTCTCTTACCTTTGGGAGTGCTGGGGGGTCTCTCCCCGGTGGTCCGGTGGTCCAGTGGCTGCAGGGCGGGTAGGCGGGCGGCTGGCGAGGGAGCACCTCCTATGAGCTCTCTGCTCAGCTCCCTCACGCGCCGGCTGCAGAGTGAGGCTGGGAGCCGGAAGATGACGTCATCTTCCGGCTCCCAGCCTCACTCTGCGGCGCGCGAGGGAGATGAGCAGTCAGTTCATAGGAAGAGCTCCCTCGCCAGCCGCCCGCCTGCCAGCGCCGCCCGCTCACGATGTCAGTTAGCCGCAAGGCTAACTAGACATTTGCCCTGGGCATTTGGGGGGCGGCGTTTTTTGCCGCCCCCTGAAAAATGCCTTGTTTGCCTCGCGGCTAATACGCCCCTGCCCCCATCCCCTGTCACTGCTCCTCCACCCTCTAACCCACTTACAGCCCCTCCACCCCACTACCCCTGTTACTGCCCCTCCATCCCACACACACCATGTCACAGCCCCCCTCTGCACACACTGTCACCCCATACACTATCACCATTCCTAAACACTTTCAGCCCCCACACACTGTATCCCCCTTCACCCAGCCACACTCACAATAACCCTCCTAATCCTGTCACTCTCACCCCCTCCAACCAAACCACTACAGCCCCATCATCCCACATCACAGGCCTTTGCTTTGCCA